GAGAGAGAGAGAGAGAGAGAGAGAGAGAGAGAGAGAGAGAGAGAGAGAGAGAGAGCCCCTTGTTCTTGGATGTTTTCTTTTATATATATATATATATAGAGAGAGAGAGAGAGCCCCTTGTTCTTGGATGTTTTCTTAGAGAGAGAGAGAGAGAGAGAGAGAGAGAGAGAGAGAGAGAGAGAGAGAGAGAGAGAGAGACTACTTGCAAAACGCTGCCGCACCCTGCTAAATGAATTGCTTGGGGAAACCCTGAAGGCGTGGCTCACGCATCAGGGTCAAAACGTGACCTGGTTTCTCCTTCCGATGACGGTGCTCTTTTGACACTTTCTCTGTCGGATACGGTGTAGGTGACTACGGATGACAGGACTCTTTTTGACCCCCTTGCGTACCGACTACACGTATGTGTGACCATTCTGAGTGTTCATAATTTCCTTATCCCAAATATACTCCTTTTTTTTAGACAAATGCACACAGCCGATGCATGGAAATCTCTGTTGAACCCTGATCTGACATTCATGTGACATTCATGTGACATTCATGGACCTCCCAATTGTCAGCATCATCATCAAGTTCGCTTCAGCGTTAGATTTTCCAGACAACGAACGCTTAAAAAGGCTGCTGACGATTTTCCAGACAACGAACGCAAGTGGATAGTCCTGAATCGGGTACGCAATGAACAAACGGACATCATGCTTGATGAATTTAAAGAGGATCGTGCTGAATTGGGGGTGCAATGAACAAACGGACATCATCCTCATCCACAAGGTGTGCGCCAAACGCTTTACAACGATTGCTTCCCAGACTGGACAGGAAGCAGGAGTTTCATTTTGGACATCAATCACATAAATGGAATCCTAAAATGGCTCCTTATATTTTTAGTGAACGAAAAGGAGTTCATATAATTGACCTTATACAGACATCTAACTTATTGTATGAAAGCTTGTGATTTTTTTAGCTAATGCAGCTAGTAATAAGGAAGAAATTTTTAAAAGATTTTTTTTATTAGTAGGAACAAAGTTTCAAGCTTCTGAGTTAATAAAATCAGAAGCACTTAAATATCTAGATGTCATTATGTAAATCAAAGATGGCTAGGCGGTATGTTAACTACCTTCTTCCCCCGAATACAACGTACGGTCATTATAGCTGTATCTGGACTGAAAGATGCCTCAAATACAGCTATAATGACCACCATACGTTGTATTCGGGGGAAGAAGGTAATTGGATGACGATAGAAACTCGAATACAACGGCACTGACACTCAGCGTAGGCACACAATAGTACATGCCGATGGGGGACTGGTACATTTCCCCATTGGCATGCCAATTTCCTGCTTCAGAAGTACACCAGTATAGCATATGTGTACCTATGGTTGAGGGCCAACTCCAGCTCAGCTCCAGCTCAACGAACTTGTCGGTATCATCAAAGATCGAGTGTCTGTCAGTGATCTCCCCCTGTGGTCACTGCAAAAGATCCGAGTCTCCGTCCCCTACCGTCTTCACACGAATAGAACGCCTGGTCATCATAGCCGTATTTGGCACAGCTTTCGGTCCAGATGCCGCGATAATAACCGGGCGTTCTATTCGGGTGAAGACGGTAGTGTGTTAGCACACACACACAAACGTCTTACCCTTGTGCACGTACGAGGGTATCAGCCAGTCTACAGCCTTCGAAATGCAGTCCTGAAGTAACAGACTGAACACCTCTCTGATAATGTACCAACCAGCCGAAACATGCACGTCCCGTCTATATAGTAGGGTCTCGTTAGACCCTTCTTTAGAAATGAGAAATGCGATATTTTTTCTGGGTCCCACCAGCCTCTTCTCCCTCTGAACCTGTGGCGTGTCGGATCAATGTTCAGCTTGCCACGGTTGCAGTGTTCTGCGTTTTGGTGAATAGTAGGGGTCCGTGAATTGGTGGTGTATAATACCCTTGATTCTTTCAGCCAAGTGGTTTAATACCCTTGATGAGTCTTTCAGCCAACACATAGGAGGGTCTCGTTAGACCCTCCTTAGCAATGCGATTTTTTAGCAATGCAGCGGTATTGCAGCACTCCTTAAAATCGAATCCAAAAAAATAAATAAATAAATAAATAATACTAGGCTATCAGAGTGGCCCGGGGTCACTTGCCCGGCCGGGCCAAAAACATTAAAAAAAGAAGTTTTATTTTATTTTTTATTCTGAATTTGATGAAGGATTTCGATGGGACCCTAAGGCAAAAGTTGTTCAGTTTATTTTGCTGCATAACATAGTTTTTTTTCGGATTTTTTTAAATTTTTCATTATTATTATTTTGTTTTTTGCTGGGACCTTCCCTGGGGCGTGGTCCCACTAGCAAAGAGGATCAGATAGAAACCCTGAATCTGGCCACGTTGTATGCAGAGATACAGAAAAGCAGTTCGATCTCGATTTCCTGCTCCTGTCCTGGAACACGTCCAGATTCAGGCATTCAATCCCATGCTCTCTTGCTAATGGGACCACGGCCCTGGTCCTTGCACGGGCTGGCCACCCAGGACCCGGGCGGCCCGGCTGGTAGCCTAGAAATAATAATAATAATAATAAACAAATAAATAAATAAAATTGAAAAATCGAATCCCACCCCCCAAAAAAAAAGTGCGAACGCTCGAACGAGCAGTCCCAACAAATTTAGGAATCAAATCAGCATAAAAATAT